ATGTTTTTTTTTTTAAAAGATAGAGGAAAAGGAGAGAGACAGAGAGAGGGAGAGAAAGAAAGAAAGAAAGAAAAAAGGAAGAACATGAAACTTAATTTTACACTTAGGCCTACATATTACATTTCCGACTGAGTTGGCTCGACATGTGCTTAAGTAGTCTGCGGACGAAAGTACAACAATACGAAAGCAGAAGTTATATGAAATTGTCTTTAAGAAAGAAAGAGAGGTTAAATTCTAAAATGAAATGAAAGGGGTTATGTGACTCTCAAGGAGGAAATTACAATTTCTATCGCTCATGACGACTATTTGGAATTTCCTAATTTTTTTTAAAGTTCAAGAACTTCCTGGGGCTCCGCCCCATGCAAGACTCTCGGCAACAGCAAATTATTTACACAATTTCTTACTGTCTGCTGCCTCGAGATCACTGGAGCGAAGAAAGGTAACATATAGCAAGAATCCCTATTCAGTGAAGGATTTATCCCTTTTATTATTAAAGACTCCCGACAAAGGCTCTCCCCCTGCAAAATTGGAGAGAGTTTTATGTAGTTTAAGCTTCTACCAACCACGCCCGTGGACCTTTTATTATTTACACAAAGGTAAAAGTGTATAGCAAGAATCCCTATTCAGTGAAGGATTCATCCTTTTTATGCAGATGCTTCTTCTACCATTCTTGACCAGAAGTGCGTTTCAAACTCAATGATATGGGCATCATCCCATTGAATGTTGTGTCCAGTGTTACGGGTTTGTTTTGCTACTTGCTGCCTAATCTGAGGGCTCTGTTATGCTCTTTAAAAAGAGGACACAATAGGGGCAGCGCAATTTAAATATCAAGAAATGTATAAGAGTTTATTTCTAAAATGAAATGAAAGGGATATTTGACTTTCAAGAGCGACAAAAACTCTAATCCATCCCTTGAAATTTAAATTGCACTGCCCCCATTCAGTGTCCTATTTTCAAAGAGCACAAAAAGGCTTCAGATTGAAGATTCCATCTCATAAAATTGTCTATAAGGGAGAAAGAGAGCCTTATTTCTGAAATGAAAGGGCTATTTGACTTTCAAGAGCGATAAAAACTCTAATCCATCCCTTGGAATTTAAATTGCACTGCCCCAGGCGCGTACGCAGGATTTTTTCAAGGGGGGGGGGGGGGGGGGGGGTTTAACATTTATAAATCGGGCCGAAAATTTCGCAACGACTCAGCCAGCCGCTGAATAAGCGGGGGGGGGGGGGGGGGGGGGGGGGGGGTAAGAGGTCACTTTTTTTTTTTTGGGGGTCCCGAAAAAATCGCAACGACTCAGCCGACCGTTGAATAAGCGGCGGGGGGGGGGGGGGGGGGGAGGGGTAAGAGGACACTTTTTTTTTTTTTTTTTGGTCTCGAAATTTGAAAATTTGACATTTTGCTCCGTTGGGGGGGGGGGGGGTAAGGTCAGCTTTTTTAGGTCAACCATGGGAATATTTTTTCAATTAAAAAAAAAAAAAAAATCCAAAAGGGGGGGGGGGGTTTGGAGAAATTTAGGGGGAGTTTACACACAAAAAATTACCAAAGGGGGGGGGGTTAACCCCCAAAACACCCCCCCCCTGTGTACGCGCCTGCACTGCCCCCATTCAGTGTGCCATTTCCAAAGAGCACAAAAAGGCTTCAGATTGAAGATTCCATCTCATAAAATTGTCTATAAGAGAGAAAGAGAGTTTATTTCGAGAGAAAAAAATGAAATGAAAGGGCTATTTGACCAGAGCCCTTTCATTTCATTTTAGAAATAACCTCTCTTCCTCTCTTATAGACAATTTTCTCTCTTGAAAGTCAATAGCCCTTTCATTTCATTTTAGAAATACCTCTTTTTTTCTCCTAAAGACAATTTCTCTCTTGAAAAGGCTCTGCCAGGCCCCTCAAGCTCTGCCATGTTGTATGGATCCATTAGAAAGCAAAATAAGCCCACTCAATAATTAATATATATTAAAACGTCATAGCGATTCATCCAAATAAGAAATCGACGTATGAGGCATTTTGAAATTCCTTCAAATTCCAGGATATTGGATGTTATTTTTCAGGAAACTCTATTTAAACGAGAGGAAGCACTGGCGGTTCTGTTTTTTTTAAACTGTAACAATTCTCCTTGGATCAGATATAGACCAAAAACAAGCCTCATTATCTTCAGTATACAAGTGTCATTTCGGACCTTACAGCTTTCATAGAAATCGCTTCTGGACCGTCAAAGAAAAAGTTTGAGAACCCCTGGTCTACGCATTATATGACAAATTTGCTCTCAGCCAATCACATGCCATGATTTCAGTAGCTTATAACGGTAGCTTGTAACTTGTTATGGATATCAAGTTTTAAGAAACGGGGCCCAGGACCAACTTGACAACTTGACAAAAATTTGAGGGGGGTTCGACCCCCCCCCCCCCCCTGCGTACGCGCCTGCATGTGCACCCCTTCCTCCTTATTCCCTTATCCCATCGTTACCGTCACTACCATTTGAGTAGGGCCGGCCCCCTACTTAATAACGACTCCCAAGCCATCAAGAATGACCCCATTATTTATAGATTACCATTCTGCCGTTCTTTGGAGGGGCCGGGCGCTGCCTTTTCAGAAGTGTTTCTACACTAACCTTTTCATGCACTACGGCTTAACATAAACACGCATGCTAAGATTTTTTTGAAAAGAAGCATAATTTCGACTCAGTTTCGCATAACCTAAAAAAAGGAATACGGCCAGTCACCCCTCCCCCCCTCAATGCATCCGCCTTCACGCACCCCCCCCCCTTCCCCTTGTCTTTCCCTTATTCGTCGTTACTGTCGCTAATTTTTAGTGCCATTTCGTTGTCTTTCTTTCTCCCCGGCTCCTCTCTTCTTTTTCTTTCCTCTTTTTTGAACGTTCTCTCTTTTCTTTACTTTTTTGTTCTCTTTTCTTTTATCTTCTCCTTTTCCCCCTTTTTTTCTTTCTTTTTTTCTTCCTCTTTTTTCCTTCTCAATTTTTTTGCGCCGCCAATAGGGGGGGCCGCGGCCGTTTCGGCCCACCCCTGGATCCGCCACTGGATCAAATTGTGAAATACACGGAGACAAAATACTGGATACGTGCTCATGAAAGTTATGTGATCATTATTCATTTATGCACAACCAGTGCACTCCATGATACACAGGTGGAAGTATTCTTTGAAAAGGGGAAACAAAGGCTATTTATGTAGCACCTCCATCGCTGTAGGAGTGATTTTATGTCAAAATGGACAAAGTGGGATCTCTTCATGTTTTGAAGATCTGTGAAATGGTTTGGTTTGGTTTTATTTTCCGTATAAAAATTAAAATACATACAAGAATACAATTTACAAATATAATACAAATCACGAATTAAAAATGGCTGGAATGCTCTATTCAGAGCAATTATTGAAATAGCTCTGTTCTAATTCGTAGAGGTCCAGAAATCGGATAATTAAACATAGAAAAAAAATATGTCGAAAATATTACATACGCACTATCCCAAACCCCCTCCCAAACCTATTATATCACATTATGAATACGACTGTTACCATCCCCTCCCTTCCCCGTTTACACCATAAGTTTATTTGGGGCCATTGGGGACATGTGCTAACCGTGAACTGGTTTATTGAGGGCGCTATGGTGGTTGGGGGAGGGGTGTAATTATCGTCATTTTTGTTTTTGTTGTCATTCTCCTCCCCCTCTCCCTTTATCTTCACTTTTTCCCCCTCTCTCTCTGTAGCCTTTTTTTGCCATTCATGGTGGGGTACCACTCTGCCCCAAGCTCCTTCCACCCATTCTCTTTTGAAATACAGTGCGTCGCAGAAAAAACGCAACTGAGAATTATCGATGTTTTACATAACTTAATCACAATTATAATTTATTAACGACACATATTTGTAAAGCGGGCGGTATTTGAATTTCAAAGAGAAAATTCAAGAAAGTTCATTTTCTGCTCTTTCATAAATTATGACACCTCAATCAGGAGAAATGAGCCAGAAATAACAAAGTTTTGTTTGTTTAAAGTAATGCTTGCATTTCCTTAATTTGATTAAACGAATTCGTTTTCACTGGCTGCCTGCCGTAGCAACAAACAGATTTGACAAAAGACTTAACTCCGTTTCGTTGACGATCAGCCATGCTCAAAGAAGATGAAAGACTTGATGATGGCTGATCTTCAACGAAACGATACATATTAAATACAGCGAGTAGGCCTACTTTGCAAGCTGATTTTATCTGTTATTTTTGTATATTGTAATTTGTTGTATGTTGTAGGCTTGGCGAATAAAATCAATCAACCAATCAATCAATCAATCTGTTATTAATACTAGTAGGCTTATCATTAGGTCTACTTACTCCCTCTCATGCTCCCTTCATCATTCTCTGCCTCACCCATTCACATTCCTTGTCCATGAGTCCATCACTCCGATTCTTACATTGTTTCATTATGCCCTTTCTGCTTCTTCTTTTACATTTCCCATCCCCTCTATCTCTCTCTGCTATTATTTTATCTCTCCTTCCTCTATCTCTCTCTGCCTATTATAATTATCTCTCTCCTCTATCTCTCTGCCTATTATATCTCTCCTTCCTCTATCTCTCTCTGCCTATTATATCTCTCTCCTCTATCTCTCTGCCTATTATATCTCTCCTTCCTCTATCTCTCTCTGCCTATTATATCTCTCCTTCCTCTATCTCTCTCTGCCTATTATATCTCTCCTTCCTCTATCTCTCTCTGCCTATATATCTCTCCTTCCTCTATCTCTCTCTACCTATATATCTCTCCTTCCTCTATCTCTTTGCCTATTATATCTCTCTCTCCTCTATCTCTCTGCCTATATATTATATCTCTCCTTCTTCTATCTCTCTCTGCCTATATTTCTCCCTCCTCTATCTCTCTCTCTCCTCTTTTTCTCTACCTATATATCTCTCTCCACTCTCCCCCTCTCTCCCTCTCTCTGTCTCTTTCTCAATACTATATTTGAGATGAGAAAAGTACAACCAATATCATATAATCCATACAAAATTACCTTCATTTTTTCTCAGTCATAATTTAATACTGTAGCAAATAACAAGTACTTATTTAAGGTTCTACCATTTTTTTTTGAGTTGACACAAAATTCATTTTTAAAATCTGTATATCAATCCAGCATTGTATCACAATTTATGAACAAGATTTCCTTCCGGACAAAAAATATTTACAGTTCATTTCATTATTTGACTTTGTAAATTCGTCACATACATAATCCACCACCAACAAACAAATCTCTATCATTAATTGGTGGCCAAATAAGACCCCAAAAGAAAAAAGGACAAAAAAATGTTCATATCATTACATAGAGCCATTTTGTAAAAATTCAACTATTTATATATTCATTATCTATGACTCACATGGCATATTGCTGTGTTGGCCTACAAAAATTACCTAACGGTGAATTTGACATTTAAATCAGATTATTTTCAAGATCATTGTATCTAATGCAACTAGCTACTATATCTACACACATCAGTTCTCTATTTGGAACTCATCAAAATTCTCTCTCAAACTGTTTCCTTTAGAGACAGACCAATTCATCGGTTGCTTGAAGGTTGTTAGAGTTATGCATTGTCAATGGTAGTTAACTACTTTCTTGCAGGCAGCCAACAAAATACAGAATGGAAATTAATTAGAAATAAAGAAATTTTGAATTTCATTTGGAAGTTATCATTATCAACTTTTTTTACCTTTACATACATTAAAACTATCTACAAAAGCCAACATTATTTTTTTCAGTCTCCCCACATTGCACTTTCAATAGGGAAAATATTCTTAGCAAATAAAATATCAAGTTGCTCTTTCCTCAAAACGACCTGAATATTTGTGAACAAATGCTTTATCAAATGGAAAAGTGAAATTGATGTTAAATGGGTAATAACATGTATATACCAACTACAGATGATAATTCATCCTCAAATAACGTATTTCAAGTTTGAAAATGAAATGAAAGAGAATTGAAACGAAAGCAGAAAAAGAACTTGAAATAACAAACGAAAGCCCGTCGATAAAAACATGTGAGTTGTGAAATAAAATTCATAAATTAATCTCTCGTTTGTGTTCCATGTAATAAATACATGACCTAGAAATATGTGTCCTCGTTAAAAATGTTGAAGCCTGAACAATTTAGGAAACATGATTAAGTACAGGTAAAACATCAAGAATTTAACAGGACTTAAAACATTGTCCTTTAGAACTTTACAACTGAAAAGAATGAAGCACAGAATGAGAGTTTGGGATTTTTATGAAAGGCCCATATTTAGTAATTCAATTCAAACTGACACAAAGGTTCATATTTTAACAAGTCAGGAAAACTTGGACCTCTGACCAACTTCCTTTAGTTAAACCTGATTTTGAAGAATAGCGCAACCCCGGTGCTGGATTGAAAGTCAAGTAGAATACAGGACATTGATAACACAAGCATTGGTGGAACCCTCCTTTGTTAAACTCAATATTAGACTAACCTTAAACACAGCGATGGATTCTATCAGATGAGAAAAGAACCCGTCGCTAGGTTTAAAACTTTGGAGCAATACTGGCCAAATCTGGATTTCAATCAACAGGTTCTGGCTTTTTCTTTTAAGCTGATTATCTACATCATTTGTTCAAATATGAGATTAAACATCTTGGTGGAATCACCTTAGATACCATTTAAGATAATAGTTGAACAGTTGAAAGTTGATAGACTGTGGTTTAAATTATGTGGAAGAGAGCCCTCTCTAGTTGAGAAATAGAAAGTCCCTTTCTTCATCACTCAAATCTGTTGTTTATCAGCCTTCATTGTTTATACACACAACTGAGAAAAAGACAATGAATTTGCTTGTTTTGATTTTGTACGCCTCTGTGAAATGAGTCGCAGTCCTCACTCAATTTCCGGCCTTATCCATCACACACGTAACTTCAACTCAGAAACAATAACCCACATCAGCAATTCCAAACTTGATCATCTTCCAAATTAGACCCGACAGGGTTAATAACACACCCATTAAAAACAGATGAAGAATTTCTATATAAATCAGACTTGAAAGTAGAGGCGAGTTAAGAAAACGTGATACGAATCAATAACACTGCTCGTATAATTGGAATAAATTGCTCTTTTGGGTGAAAGGAGAGCCCTGAGGGAGAGCCAAAGGGGGTCTGGAAAGGGGGATGATTCACGGTCCTCAGGGGGGCATCTCTTCTTTCCTTCTCTGAGACTAAAACTAGGTCTTATTGACAACAGGATATTTGATGAGTACACCGGCGGGGGGAAATGAAGCTCATCTTCTCAAAGTTTTTATCTCCCTTTCCTATTTTTTCCCCTCCCGTCCTTTTCTTGATGCTTATCTTCTCCACCCTGGTTTATCTGACGAAACCAGACAATGAGGGGTGAGAGTTAGAAGCTGGAGTTTAGTGAAAATAAGTGACTGACATTTGAAGGATCTTCCACAGCAATAGTGATTGGTAATACTCAACAAATGGTAATGATTTAAAGGGCATGAAGTCAGAGATTGACTACACACTGAGATGTGTGTCACTTATCCATACATACATTATGATTACACATCAAGACTAAAAATTGATGAACACATTTATTTTTTTAAAACACCATTTTATGATTACTTTGAAGCATTAATCATCAAGCTTTGGGTTGGATTTATATCAGCAAGCAGGGTTCTCTTTCACATCATTTAAGGAGAAAATTATGCCTAAATGTCCCCTGTCCAGAAAAGAATACAAATCTCTTTAAGGCTTGCGTACATTTCACTTTTTATCTTCCCTTAGATATTCACAATGTCTAAAACAAATGATACTCTGAAATGCTTTATTGATATTTCTCTGGACCTGATAAGATCAAAATAAAACATGTACCGAACTTAGAATGACCAATTTATAGACATTTTCCATATATTAACACAATGCCACCCCACACTTGTCAATTATTCCAACACAGATATATTTCACAGAGTTGTTTGATAGCCAATTATCATACTTGTTGAAGAAGTTTAAAAACAAAAGTTCATTGAATGTTTTATTAAAGGATTTAGAGGATATGCATTTACCAAATCCATAATAAATTTCATGCCATGATGTAAGAAGCACAATCACTCATACATTGCATGAAATATAACAATCTAATTTAACAGGGAAAGACTGATCATCAGTTGTTTGAAATTTAACTTTGTATCATTTACAAATCAATTTTATAAAAAAGTCACATTCCACCATCGTCACAACCTTTCCCTAAGTCATCCTACATGGTGAGGCCCATAGAGAGTTTGATTCATGACTACAATCAACAACAACAAAACTATTTCAAAAAGAAAATACGACTGATTTCACAACTCATTTCAGATGATTCATGTAAGATTTAAAATCCACGGTGGGTGACTTTAAAGCACAGTTTTGAACCTTGGTGCTGGTGTCGACCCATAATGCTTCCAGTGGTGTCAATGAAATAACAGAGCTTGAAGTGTCCACTAAGTTAACCTGTGATGTTAACACTAACACTAACACCTAATTACACCAGAGGAATTCACCCTGCTTGTTTATTCCCAGATAAGCACCAAACAGATAACAAACTGACGGTCGTTGACAGCATTGTACAACTAAATAACAGGAAAGAATTGGTGACTGTCTTGTTTTAGAATTTATAATATCCCTCTTTCTCTTTGGAATGTTACTTCTCATGATCTCTCATTACTCTACAACATATTTGGCACATACAAAACAGTTCCACACAAATTAGAGAATAAAAGTTCTTAAAACGATTTCACTTGCATAATGAACCTTTCACATATATTAAGGAGGAGGGATTAAAATATTTTGGAACTTGCTTATTTTTCTTTCCATCTTCATTTACAAATGAGCCCATTTTGCTGGGATCATAAAAGACTTCAATGACGGGTACATTGCACAAGGATTTATTTGATGAAACAGTTGTAATTGACAATTGATATCAAGTAAAAAGGTATTGAAACAGGATTTATATCCTAAAATTTCTATCAGGTATTAAAAAAATGTAATAGCCTCATTTCTGTTTAATGTACAAGTAAATTAATACATTTGAAATAATCAATTAAAATGAGCAACTTTCCAACAGGAAATTGCCATGTTCCTGAAAGTTACAAATATATAGGAGTAGTACAAAAGGTGTTCCCGTTTTGAATGAAGATGTGCTATGCACAAACAAAGTGTAATTATTTAAAGCTAGCATTGTATCCTTTCCAAAGTAAATGGCAAGTCTCAAAATACAACTCTGGAACCAAACCATAGGTATACATACATACCATCATGGGTTAACGGTGTTTGGTAAGTTAGTGTTTGGGGACATGGTTGATTGTTTGAAAGGTACCCTCTATGATACAATAGGGTCATGTGCTATCACGACTGTTTGATAATCAACAGTAAAAACTATTTCCTATGAAAACATGGGAAAAACATGTTGAGGCTTCACAGCTATGACAGACAGAGAGAAGAAAGATAAACGTTGAGAGGCTACATGGTAACCATGTCCTATCTTGAATGGGAATCTTTATCAGGAGTTGCTTTGCCCTTGGATGGGTTAGAGTCTGCAGGTGAACTGTTCCTGGTGCCTGTCAGATGAGGAGATGCTGAATGACTGTGGGGCCCTAGATGGCTCAGCCCCCCATGAGACGGGCCGTTACTTGTTGCAGCCGAGGAAACCAGGGGTGGGGGAGGGGCAGATAGGGTGGAGGGCGGTGAACTGTTCTTGTGCAAAGAGTTTGAGAAGATAGAGCTAGTCCTTGAATAAGGGGGAATCCCCCCAATGGAGGGTCTGTTGAGAGGGTTGAGGGGGTCCTGGGAGGTCGCGTGGATGAGTCTGCTTCGTTCCACATCCTCACGTAGAGCTAGGGCGCGGTCGCGCTCCTCGAGGTATCTGTGCATGCGCTCTTGTTCCAGGTGCCTTATGGTGGATTCCATGGCAAGAGGGTTATCTCGCGAGAAGTCATGGTGCTCACGTTCACGCAGCCTATCTGGATGCTCAATGATTGGTCCCATGGGCTGATGCAGAGCAGATCGCATCAGACGATCACGCTCGTACTCACGCTCAAGTCTCATCTGCTGCTCGCGATGCAGCGCTTCCAGGTTACCCCTGAACGGATCCCAAGGACCTTGGATCTGTGGGTTGGGATGTCTCTCCATATGGAGGAGCGGTGAGAAGGGCATACCTGGCAAGCGACGGTCTAACAATGACATCATAGGATTCATATGGTTCATGGAATTGAGGACGGATGCCTGATGCAATGCCATTACTTCCGGAGGGAATCTTTCCGGTAGCCTTTCTGGCAGCCTCTCAGGCATCCTCTCTGGTAACATCTCTGGTATCCTCTCTGGGATCCTTTCCGGTAAACGCGGCTCTGGCAATCTCTCCGAAGGCTTTTCCTTTTCAGGCTCCCGTCTCTCCTCTTTGGCGGTCAGCGAGTTTGGATGTAACACATTGTTGAATGCGCTATCAAATCGTCCATCATGACCTCGCGACGTTGAATGTCTTACTGCATCATTAACATGGCGACTAGGAGGGGTCACACGTTTCAAATCACTAGAACGACTCTCGGAGCTGCGTTCCTCTTTTCTCCTTTCATGATCACGATCATTGTCCAGTACGCGAGCGTGATTTAGTGTTCTTGATTCACTTTCCGTCGGTCGGCTCTCTCTGTCACGATCGTTAGACCATCCCTCTGAAGGTCCATGATTCACTGACCTCTCTCCATCCTTGCGCTCCCTGAGAAGAGAAAAATCAAACAAAAGAGGGGCTTGTTAAAAAAAAATTGTTTAAACTCTGCACATTAAATTAATAATAATCAAAAGTTTCCACCTGTCTTTAGAAAAAATAATTAATCCATACTCTACTTTGTATTTTTCAGTCTTGATACTCTTAACCTGTTTAATATTAATCTTGAGATATCTAAGGATTTAATCCATTATAGATGCATGACAAACATATACTAAATAGTCTACATTGGGTTAAAAAAAATAGCATATTACACTTTTATTGCCCAAATATTTTTGTCATTTGGTCGTTGTTTACAAAATAGCGCATTATGCTCATTTCAAATCTGCATAATTTTATAATGTTTATGTATTTATCCACTCATCTCTTACAAAAAAAAAAGATTTACATTTACTTAAACACTGGTGATACATGATTTCAAAAGGAGGAAGGATCTGATAGGTCAATCTGAAATCTAATGAGGTGACCTGTGTGATAACCATGACAGAGAGATGCTCACTCGCAGTGACTAACCGCCCCCAAACTGAAGTGGAAAGGAAAAAATGTGTGGCTCGTATCAATTACTGCTGACAAATTGAACATTTGGGAGATGAGCATCCTTCCTGTACACCATGGTCAGATTAACTCCAAGACACAGCTCCACAATGAATCAGCAATCATGGGAGATTACAACTCCAACAAAGAACAGAGCCTACCCCCCCCCCCCCTCCCCTTATAGCCCACCAACTATTTAACAAACAAAACTGTTTAACAGTTTCTTCGTTTGTTCTAACAGAACGGTCAAAACAACCAGCCAGAAATTATATTAAATTACATTAGGACTCGACTACCTCGACAAGACTTAGAAAACCAGTAAATAGTCAAAGCTGACTGAACGCCACAAATAAAACAAACGACAACAACAACAACATTAAATATTCGTTATAAAAAGCCTTTAAATAGAGAAACCCGAGAGCACTTCACTGAATCTTGTTTGGGAAGCAGTATCAAAGAGTTAATGACAGAAGAAGAAGTGCCTATATGGTGAAGTTCTGATGATTCTTGAGGGAGTAGAAGAGAAGAACCCCCTTGTAAAGGTTGCATCCCTTAAAGCTGCCCCTTTTCCGGTGCGACAGGAGAAGTCAGACTAATGGGAGACATCATCTGTGCACTAGGAGATTTCCTATTCCACAATTCATCTTTTCCCTTTTGTTCCACCACAAAATAATTGAGGGCAGATGGGGTTTCTCCCTTGATCAATTTTTTTCCAGAGCTCCTGTTAAGCTAGGCTCTGAATCACTCAAGTCAAAAAGTGTTTGTTCACTACAGCTTTCATGTCCCTGACCCTCTTATTCTGTTTTGTATGTGTTCTTGCCGATGTCGAACACTTTTAATCCCTGCTGTCTATCACACCCACTATTTGAAACAAAAACCAACTAACTGGTTTCATCGAAGTTATGATAAAAACATCAATAACTCTCCATCTTCATGAAAATACTAAATAAGGCAAAAGAAAAGTAAATCATATCCATGTTTTTCAACAAAAGCATTACAATCATCCTGCTCTTAATTTATTTTTGGTCATTGTCTACAGCTTTCACTGACTCAATTACAGCGGTCAGCTTCATTTACCGTCTACATCACATTCAATCCCAAATGAGCGTGATCAAATTTCATCTAAGGTTGAGAGATCTCGGCAGATGGGGCTAGTTCTTGAACGTTGTCCAGTAAGTGGACATGACAACTTAAATCCTGCCCACCTTCCCTGAGGGCTATCAACAGTCACAGCTCATGACACGCTTCAGGCTTCCATGTTTCAATCATTCTGCATCCTCAAGCTTTTGAGGCTTACAAGTTATGGAGGAGGGGTTGATATGCAATAGGGACCAACGATTAAAATGACAACGTCAAAGCGCAAAACACCAAAGGTATGACTTGCATATTATAATCCTCTTAACCATCTCTGTCTTTTGGGTTCCTGATGTTCCTGATACCCCATACAGAAAAAAAGCAATTTATAACTATTTCAATATAGCTACTTAACATTTTTATTCAATTCCAAAATATATCCATGAATTTCAGCTAGTCAGATGGGAAGGTTTGTGCTTTGATGGTATTACAGGAAACAGTCTTTCCACAAATAAGTGATACTTCTTGGAGGAAATGCATTTTACCCAAAAGTAAGCAGGGAACAATTAATGAGATTCCTAATGCTAACAATAGAAGCCAGATAGAGAGATATGTTGGCCTGTGCTACATCTTATGACAATCCTGGAGCAGAATTTCACTGCGATAGTGCCTCTATCTCACCCCAATCTTGTTTTTATCTCGTTCTGATCGTGATTTTAACCCCCAGAGAAAGTGGTTACCATCTGGGTGTCCAGGGGGAGAGCCAGAATTATTCTATTCCATTGTCTCGTATTCGGGATGTACAGGGTTAGCTCCTTCTTTTACAGCCAGCGGTAGTTATTGTTTAGATACCCATCTCTCGTGCAAGTCACAATTAGACGAGATCAGATAGCCATCACAGTTCCAAATCTGCTTTCTAGCCTTTCTCTCAAAAAAGAGATAGTAGGTCGGATTTCTATCGTTTATAGAAGGATGAGTTTGTCCAATAAAGGTTATAACCTCTAAGTGAACTCTGAGAGTTGATTTTCATTATGATTTCTTATGGAATTCTTATGATTGGTAAGGTTGTGTTACCTAAAAGATAAAGCGTTTCCTACACTTTGCAGCCACAAATATAAAACTGTAACATAAAATATGCAAATTTACTACAAAATCCAAAGCAGTCCTTATCTTTTTATGAGATAATAATAGTTGGGTTCAAGCTTGTTGGATGTGTATGTTTGGTAACATGGAAAATGGATCCCAAACTTTCAATTTTCAAAAATGAATATAGAGAGAGGATTTTGCAATTGATCTTCAATAACAATATCTATGGACTCTAAATTTTCACTCTTCATCCTATTTCCCTATTGACGGGGGTGGGGTGAAAGAAACAGGCTAGTAAACCCAAAGAATAGTGAGTTGAAGCTTCTGGGCCTAAGAAATTAGGATAAATTTCTGCTGTCATGATGGTGACAATGACACACTCTTCTTGGTTTCGTTTTCCTGTCCCTAAATCATTACAACATGAATCCCCCTAGCTATCACAGATAAGAAACAGAGGCATTTCTTTAATCAGAATCATATCTGTAAGGGAAGGAGGGGGTGGGTGATCGCTATTGTTGTTTTCTGAACCCATCACCTGTTTTGCGTGGCCTGTTTCGTCTCATTTCCCCTACGCCCATCTCAACTCTCCTTTCCTGAGCACCCCATCTCAGCTAACTTCTTGGGAGAGCACCCGGGCGCAACTGGACCTAATTTAGTTATCAGCCGGCATTGTCACGATAGGTGCTCGCCTCGACGCCTGCCATTGTCGGGAAGCATGTCTCGCTCCCTGCTTCTTCTCTCGTCTATTCTTGTCGCCGGACGAACAATGTCTTTGAACTGTCAGCTTTAATCATGTGATTAATGAAGAGAAGTCTGACATTTGATGTGGCCCTCAAGGGGTCTCTCTTTTGGTTCTGGAAGGAGGTTCAGATTCTGGAAGATCTTTCATGACTAGCTGATGCACACATGCTCCGGCATTACGAGGGGTGGAGGCCCACTACACACCCCTAACAATGATCATCTGCTAAGCTCTTCAAATGTAAAGGGAGTCAACTGCATCTACTCATGATCCCACAAGCTTTCACACTACTGCAGATATTTACCACTTATTTAACTTGTGTCCTTCATCTGACTATTGTTGACACCCTATCTGATCTTGATGCTTTAGAGAAATATTACACCATTCTACTATCCTGCATTCTGGATATATTGCACTGTTTCAAAAGATGACCAAACCCTTTCTAATCCTAATCATGTTTCTGAACATACTTGCTACTCCCTAGCTTAAAACAGAGCCAAGATTGCCCCTCCTCCTCCTCTACCTCTCCATGTTTGCTCTATAATTCTGATTTATCCTCATTTAGTCCCAAACCACAAGTTACCAGTGTATCCAAAAAGATTTTGTGCTTTGTGTTTATTAGATCCCTTGGCACACATACAAAAAAAAGGGATTTTTTTTTCACTGAAAACATCACCGCCTCCCTTAATTGGATTATCTTGCTGCCGTCGGTAAAACAAAGACCATGACCTTGGATCAATTATTCAGCTAACCTTCATCATCCTTTAGCATAAACCAAACAGACAATGTCTTCCAATCCTTGTAATATTCCACTTCCTGTACATGCAAGCATAGTTTGCACGTTCCAGCTCATGGTTATCATCCACGTGACAATGAAACACTCCTCAAACTTTCTGCCTGAAATGAAATGCAAAACATTGGATCTTCCACCATAGCCCCCTCCCATTACCCCTCCTCCTATCCCTCTCCTTTACTTACATGACAAGGCAACCGAACCAACAAGACTTCTGTCAATCCCGATTGATACCTTCATCAGTCATAACAACAAGATGTCTGTCATGTTTATACACCACTATGAAGAGTTGGCATCTATGGTCAAAGTTTGATTGGCACAGCACCTCCCTTCTCTCTCCACTCACTTAACTCTAATCAACCAACCATTCTTGGCACAGCCTCCTGACTAATCTAATTCACTATCACCATATCCTGACCCTAGGTATCTTCCTCTCTCTCCGTTATTGTCGAAGAAACAATGGGAAGCCCCCACGACACCTGTTTGAATTTGCCGGTAATTTGCTAACGAAGGATTTGGCCTGGGGACATAATCTAATTGCATGTCACTATTAGCTGAGTAATCGCTCGGTACTGCTCTACCCGCCAAACCACATTACCAATGACAAAAATCAACTTATGTCTTGATGACAAATTTCCGCACTTCCGCTGCTTAAAGCAAATGTTTACCTTGACGCCTTTCACGTACAACATGTAATTCAAACACGTGGAGCCTGCAAGATTTTGACGAGGATAAAGTTCTCTGGTAATTAGCTATCGTGCATCATGGGCTTAAAATAATTCTATACAAAGACCAATTTATGAAGTACCTTCCCTTGACTTTTAAGTTTAACATCTTTCCCCAAATGTGTGAATATAAAAGATCAGAGATCACTATTGAGCAATGATGACACCCTTCTTCCTGTTCCCTGGCCAAGAATGCATTATATGCTCTCTGTTGAAATGATTAAATGAATACATTACTCTTTACAATAAGGTAATAAACATTTCTCCCCATATGATCAGATAATCTTTGAAATACCAACCTGTCTCTTTCTTTGTCTTTCTCCCTTTCCCGTTCTCTCTCGATCTTTTCTCGTTCCCGCTCCCGTTCGCGTTCCCTTTCCCGCTCTCGTTCCCTCTCCTCATCCTTGAGTCTCTCCCGTTCGCGTTCCCTCTCTCTGTCCAGGCTGAAATGGAACCCTTCTTTGGCCCTCTCTGGTTCTGGTTTGGCCCAGGTGCCCGGTGGCATGCCTGGGAAGCCTGGTGGGGTCCTGTGAAGCCTCCCCCATTGACCCTGGTGTGGACTGGTTAGACCCGGTAAGCCGATAGCCTCTCGACCGTTGAACATGCTGGCATTCAAACTGCCGCCTGATAATGAGGGGGTTGAGAAAGAGATATGTAATAGCTTATCAAATATATCATGTCTATACTGCTTAAAGATATTGCATGGCCAAAGATTGTCATCAATTCTAAGGATATACATGTGTTGGGGGGATTCTTAATGAAATAATTGTTATATAATTTAACTTTATGAAATAATTTTGGTAAGATAGGGTGTTTTATAATTACAGCCATAATAAAATAATCCACTGGTAGAGGCCTTGTGAGTATATTGTGAATACCGGTACCAAACAATTTTTAAGAGTCAGGGATTTAAAGGAAAAGAAAGAATAGAGAGGGGAGAGAGGGAGAGGAAAGAAAGAAGTAAATAGAAGAGAGAGAGAGAGAGAGAGAAAGAAAAGGGGGGGGGGGCACACACACATAAAGAGAGGAAGGTAGGGATAGAAAGAGACATAATGTAAAGTAACAAGGAACTAATGAAATACCTTTCATACCTGGTCCTGTTAAAGGAAAGCCCAGGTTACCTGGCCCGTAACTTGCTGGTCTGGGCATGGGAGGTAGACCGAAGGTAGGTCCAGCTGCATTCAAGAAGCTGGGGTGATGAGGACCACCTTGGAGGTTCAATGGACCTCCTGGTGCACCTGTTCAGAGGTAAGAGCCAGAGAGGTGTAAAAAACGTTAGAATGGTGGTATCTCTATAGATTAACGGCTCACATCCCAAAGTTACATGTATTTTTCTACTTCCATTGACCTATCCCAAGCATACATTTAAATCATTCTGCAAAGCTATAAACAACACATGAATACAAAATAAAAAAATCCACATGAAGTTTCCTTTGATTATTACAAAAAAGACAAATTCACATCAGTTTATTTTGCCCATGTGGATTTGCCTATTTGGCACTACCATGTTAAAATTGAAATTCTTTGTGGATGTGAGCTATAGGAGGGTGAACCATCTCTTATTAAAAGATAGAGCTGTATCAGATCAGGCATAAATGTTATTCTGCCCTATCTCTATTTCCTTTTTTTTTTTTTTTTTTTAGCGCATAGGGACTTTCTTTGTGTTAGTGATATGGGCTATACAAATAACCTTCATTGTTATTGTTATTATTATTCATATCAAGCCCAGGCAGGTAATGGAGTGATGCAGTCCGGAGGATGCCTAATACCTACCATGAGGAAAGAGATTAGACTGCAGGTGGAGATCAGGTGGCCTGGGAGGAGAAAATATATGAGGTCCGCCACCGGGCTTGCCAAGGAAGGCTTCTTGCTTCAAGCTATCCTTCTGAGCATCTACCTTGGCCTGGTGGTGGAGGAGAAGGAGAGAGAGAGAGATTGAGAAAAGAGAACATTTTCAAGGAGAGAATGGGAGAAGAAATGGAAGGAGAGAGAAAGAAAGAGGAGGTAGGTAGGTAGATAGAGAGAGAGAGAGAGAGAGAGAGAGAGAGAGAGAGAGAATAAAAACAATTAAAGTGGAGAAACAGTGGGAGACAGATAAGCATAAAATAAATTGAGGAACAGACATAAGGAAAGAGATATAAATAATATTTTAAAACCAATATTTAATTTGACTTCCTCAACATAACCCCATGCATTTATATATCTGTATGTATTCCCATATTAGTCCCTCCCCCTACATTTTGAACGCTTATAGTGGTAATGGCACGTTTAATGAAAATAAAACAGATAAGGAGTACATATTGACTATAAATAGCTCTCATATATATTACAAAATTGTGAAATATATTCTTTCTAAAATCCTTATAAAAAAACAAAGGTCAAAAGTAAAGATCCCTTAAACAAAGTGTTGGAATAAAGCAACAATTACTGTATCGTTTATTAATGTAGATTTTAATGTAGCATTATACCTAACAAAAGGGAAAGACTGGTATCAAAGCTTTTACCTTCTGCTGATGGTGATATATTAGCCATGCAACATTTACATGGGCTGCGCACCATTCTCCACGTTTCTGAAATAAAAAGTAGGCAAAAGAAAAGAAAAATTTAAATATGAATAGATGACAAACTGACTAAGGTCGATACATGCAGTATCAGAAGACGATTATAAAATCTTTGAAAGTCAGGAGTGTAAATATGTAAATGAGGTGAATGCTGCCTTCAATGTTTATATAGTTACTTCAGCATGTTAAAAGATTGGCTGATTGATAATAGAATGAAAATATGGAATAATACTTCTTGTTTCTAGTGTTATTGCAAACCCAAACTAAAAGGACACTATATAGAAAGATTAATTTTCTTGCACAATCAACTGCATACACTAGCTATGGAAAAGATCCCCCCCCCCCAAAAAAAAAGAAGAAGATGACAAAGGATGGATTGACATGAAAAAGATGAAAGCATGCACGCTTGTAAACAGACATGTAATATCATTTGGCACAAATACACTTGACACAATGCATGATTCAGACGTGGCAATTCTAATAAGGATGATTTGAAAACCCCAATGAACTTGAATGAACATGCGTAGTCATGCCATATCATCTTTGCTATAAACTAGCATCAGAACCACAATGAATTGGCTCATATCATTAGCATTTCATTCTTCTTTTCTATTTTGTGTGTGGCAAAATAAATATTAAAAAAAAACTCTTAAAACGGCTACACGAATCACATCCCACTCTTTCCCATGATTGCCTTTGTAGGTCATATCAATCTATTTGTCTTAATCAGCTAGACATTCAGTACACATTACCTTAATTTCTGGTTCCATGGGCATTACTTTAATACATGCATCTCACCCCACCCACTCAACATTAATCTAACGAGCTCATTAATTAGAAGCTTTGGCATCAAGTTTATTTCTAGATTTCTAATTTCATAAAAGTGAATGTGTAATGGGAGGGGTTTTTTTCTCCTTGAGGAATTTTGTGTTTATAGTAATTTACCCTCAATTTTTTAATCTCCCTCTGAAGTTCATTTTGACCATAAATCATGTTCAATAATGAGTGATTTAATTGGATAATGGCTCTGTTAATGAGGGTAGAGGAAGTGTGTACTAACTGGAATGGCCTTATAATAATCATATTCAATCATCAGTCCTTAATGTAGGAAATAATTACTCCTTTTAATGTTCACTGAGCTTTAATGAATGTGTAGTCTTTTATCTCAGTCTATATATCGTATTGAGTGTATGGAGTGCCAACGGATTCATAAGGTTGATAGCAAACTGGCCTGATTTCCATGGCTGCTTGGAATGCTCTCTAGAGACATTAGATAAACCTGAAAATGGTGTTGTTTTTAATTGAAGTGGGAAAAGAAACCATCTTGATTGGTGTTTCAATCTCTTTGGGGAGGTACAAGTGTTTGGATGAGAATGATTCTAGCATGCTTGGATGATTAATTGTTAGTTTTGGGTCCCACTGTCCATCACACGGTAGTCAAACCCATTAGGGGGTTTCCCTGAGGAGCATTAAGGAGCGCAGGCAAGTGGTGGTGGACTCGGAGGGAGGGTGGAAGCAGGAGAGAGGGAGACAAGGGGTAGGAGATGGACTAGCTAGCTAGGAGAGCCCAGAGTGGCGCTCTTGAAAACTCAAAGGTGATGAAACAGAGTCACAGGAGTATTGCTCTGTCATGAAAGAGACTGGACTGCAACAACACATGCTGAGGTAGGCTCAAGTTTTTAATTACTATGAAAACATAAGATGGAATGGAGAGCTAGCAGTGTATTGGCTAAAGGGAGACAAAAGATGTGGGAAGGAGAAACAAGTGAGTCACAGGTAAACATCCAAGTATTGGGGAGGTGTTCCATCGAGAATTCATCGTTTTGAATATTCATTTTAAATTAGCCTACTGTTGCTCTGTACACCAATATCAAGGACCTATTTCCCCCTTTTCTAGGGGGGGGGGGGAAGGAAAAATAAAGCTTTCCGAAAACATGACCTGATTTATAACTGCTTGACAATGTTTGTGCATTTAGGGTTTAGTGACCATGGTCAAGGAGATACATAACAATAGGAACATGAGTGAACAAACCATGCAGACCGCAGCTCTACTGTAAAGGTCATCTAGAATCTAGACAAATGATTGATTCCGGGGCTACTACATTTTCAGTCTCGGTCCGAATACACATTTCTCAGCTACCCTTCCCCAACGCATCTATCAGTGCAACAAAGTAGAACCAATGCACCCCCAGATTACAAATGGCACTCCAAAGTGCGCCAATTGATGAATGTGCACTTTTGAGAGAGGACGTTTTCCCTTTTTATCTTCTTTCTCTATGACCCTTTGGATGGAGGATAATGCGGTAAGGGATCGGAGGCTTGAAGTTGAATGGACAGCCACCTAAATTTTTGATTTCCCAAACAAACAAATCATGGAGAATGGATGATGACTGGGTATATTGAATGGTGAGAGAGACCATTGCCAGACTTGAGTAATACCAATTCAGATAGAGGGTTTATTTGTTAAGAAATAACATCAAACTTTGCAGACAGAGAGTAGCCAGCTAATGTATTATTAGAGTGAATGAGATTACTGAGAGTGAGGTAAGCATTAGTTCAAACTATTTTCACAAAATTACACAAATATTTAGCATGTTACAGCAGCTGCAGTGAGTTAAGCATTCTTTTCTTTTCCTTTTTTTTCCTCATAGGATTCTCTTACTTGCACTAGTTCACAAAAATTTAGAAATCCACATTTGCATGCAATCATACTCATTAGCAATTTAATTACAAGCCCTAAATTCCACTTGTTTTACACTTCCAATATCTGCCTAAAAGCTAATGGTGTTAAATGACCATCCCAAGATTCAAAGAATTCATTAGAATTGTTTTATTATTTGCTCATTTCTATCTTTACAACAATGATGGATACAATTCAACGTACAATGACAGTTCAGCATGCACCTGATGCCCATGATCAAGAAAGGGTATAGATACAAATTATAAAAGATCAATCAAATTGTGAAGATTATATTTGACTGATTGGAGTTATTTTCACATTTGTCATACATGCACAAGACAAGCTTTGCTGGTGTCCTGGGTTTCATTGATGTTTAACGTTCTTTAATCAATTTAGTTCAAAAAATTCATCCTCTTCTTATCATCCTATCCCATAGTCATACTGAAAAGAATGAAATGCTCAATAGTTGTGCCCATCAAAGCGTCAGATATTGATCCAGAATGTATAATTTCCCATACTAATGCCAAATAAATCCTGCTTCATACAGAAATTCCTTTCTACAGGACCATATAATTTTGTTGTAGATGTTTTTTGCAATACTGCAGCATTCAGCCTCTATCTGTAAATGCATGATCACTGAAAATTGCAGTGCTGCAGAAGGTGCTTTTAAAGACCACTGCACACAAACCTGTTATCCAACTACAACCAGATTTAGATAGAAATTGAAGGAGAATTAACTATGAAATTTTAAAAGATTTGATAGCCATGGGGATGTAAAATAGAGCTTGCCTGGCATAGCAAGCCTTTCATTCACAGAAATGCCTAATTGGCTATAAGTCAGTCAGGGCAATCCTAACAAATTCAAAGAAGTGCCCTGATTCAGTTAGGCGTTTTAGCTTCATTTTTTATCTAAGTAATATCTTGTCCTATCAAATTTAAATATTAATCCTATTTCCTCTGATATCTGGTTATAGTTGTGTTGGAGGTGTGTGTTGGCCTATACAAGGGTGCAGTTTGGGAAGGTGTACTGTTCATGCAATCATTAAAAACCAAAGTGAGGATGGGGAATGCACCTTCATGAGTGGTTTGCTGACACGGTTATCCAACCTGGAAAGCTGCAAACCACCCTCTGGCCAACTCTAGATGGAGAAACAGAGAGAGAGAGAGAGAGAGAGAGAGAAAACAGAAAGAGAGAGAGAGAGAGAGAGAGAGAGAGAGAGAGAGAGAGAGAGAGAGAGATGAGAAAAAGAGTAGAAGAAGGGGGAGAGAGCAAAAGAGAAGAGAGAGAGAGAGAGCAAACAAGAATAAGAGAGAGAGAGAGAGAGAGAGAGAGAGAGAGAGATAAGGGGAGGAGAAAAACAGAAATGAAGACAAAATGGAAAAGATTAACATGAATATTGAGACTCTATCTTACATTTTGTAAACATTCATTCCAGATTAGACAAGAGCAATAATCAAGAATAAGTATGAACCCTTTGAAAGCTTAGCCAACTTTTATTGACTGGTTTTCTTTCTTTCTTGCTCGAAATTCTGTAGAATTGCTTGCATGTTGATAGTTATAAGATGAACAAGTAAATACTAAATTGGATTTAAGAATTTGCTTATCAGTTAGTTTCTTCATAGTATACAAAATTTCAATGTTTGAAATATGGCACAAAACAAAGGTATTGAATATGCAATATACACAGTCTTACAAGAGCTCCAAACTGTTTCATAGAAAGGATGTTAGAGATAAACCATTAACCAAAAATAGTTGAAGAAGACAAAAACGATAGCCAAGATGCCACATAATGCTGAAGGCAGATACATACATGGTTGGGAAAGCTTGGCATTTGATGAAAAATGCATGATAAATCTTGTATAAAAAAGAGCTTTTCCACACATTTGGACACAAATATATATGAATGGGGCTACCTAGAATGTTGGATTCCACAGCAAGATAATGATTATTTTGTTTGCATGATATTTTTCAGAAAGGGTATAGGGATATGAATCTTTTAAAGACTTAAAGTGTGCTCTGATTAGGATATATACAACGAGTGGAAAAGGGTCATGAACAAAATTAAATAAAACACCATGAAATACGTGGAACAAAGAAGTAATTCTTTTGATACTATGAGTAAGCAGCTTGATTGAAAATATGTCAACACCCAATGAAGCAGGATTTTGTAAAATGAAAAAAATTGGAGAAGCTGGAATTACTGGAAAATTAGAATATAAACATTTTGAAGAATGTACAGGATGCGTTGGGGTCAATAAAATTGTATCACATTAGCAAAAATTTGGCTTAGTTTCAGGGCAATTTATGATGTGTTTTTATAAGCTAGGATAAAACTTGAAAAATGCGTTTGTAAACATCAGTTTCAGCACCAGTTTTGATTAATACAGCTGCAATAAATTTGATTATTTTCCTTTTAATATCACACAGTAACATCATAATATGAAGAAGAAAACAATATGTGCTTTAAAAACAATTCAGGAGGGGTGATGTAGATGATAAATTGATCTATTATTTATTTAGATAAAAGACTTAATACTTTCTATGGATGGCATGTCTGCATATATACAACAAATAGGAATTGTGATGTACTTCCATGTGGTATGCTGCCTTTCTTGAATCCATCATAAATGATTTTAAAAACTCTTATTTTTATTTATTTATTATTTATTTATTTTTTTTTTTTTGGGGGGGGGGGGGGGGGTATGAAAAAAAAAAAGAAGCTAAAATGAAGGGCTAAAGGGGAAGGGGCAGATTGTGTGTGTTTTTTGTGATTTACCTTTGGTTGGAAAGCACCATGGGCTCCTGACCCAAATCCACTGGGTAAGCTGGTTGGTGGAAACATTGGATTGATGCCTGGTGGAACACCCATTCCTAGCTGTGAGTGGGTTAAACAGATAGGGAGAATGGAGGAGAGATGGGATGAGAGCAAGAGAGAGGGAGAGAGAGAGAGAGAGAGAGAGAGAGAGAGAGAGAGAGAGAGAGAGAGAGAGAGAGAGGATGGTAGAGAGGATGAAAGAGAGAGAGAGGGATAAAAAAATTGATTCAGGTTGTATGGATGGCCAAACATGCACAATACAAACATGTACCAGTAATGATTATCATTCAATCTAATCAAATTCACTCATTTCATTGTTTGGGTGTGCTATCAAACTCATTATTGGATATTTAACTTTACCCAAGAAACAAAAAATAAATGAGGCTACATTCAACATTGCTTTTCAAAACTCAAATGAACTTTGAATTGTTTTTAATGAATCTACCAGGATTACACAACGATCGCAATCAAACTCACTGTTTCATGGACAAAGGCAAAAAAATAGGATAATTAGCCATGGGGGTCGAAGAAATTGGTTGTATCTAGGTCGTCACTAAGCATGCATCAGAATACTACGACGGAGAGGGAGGATAAAGTCATCAACTGTAGATCAGAAACCGAATTCCACGTCATCAATATCCTCCCGATCATCCCCCTAAATCTCACACACATTGGGCTCCGGAATCCCATAATCCAGCCCGGATAAATCCCAAGATTAACCGCGCTCTGGAACTACAAAACCCCCCCGCTACAGTGTCACTACCAATAATCCCCCTAAAACCGGTCAATTTGAATCTCTCTCTTGTCCCCTTTTGTCGTGGAAGATGATAACGTCTCTTTTGTGTCTGGCGTCTGAAAGCGGCCCCGCGACTGCACAGTGAATCACTTGATCAATTTTTAGGACGAAACTCGGCTTGGTCGGATGAAGTTGGATTTGTGCATCACAGTAGTTGCATCTTCAACTTGTGTAACTTAATTCTGACAGCTCGGGGAAAAGAGTTGGAGGATAAAAAGTGGTTGCTACAAGATGATCTTTTTTTTGGGGGGGGGTGTTTTAGGGTAGATGTTTTCTGGTTTTTTTTTAGTCAGACTGATCTGCACTAGCTGTTCCATCAGAGCTAAAAACAGGCACTGGACTCAACCATTTCTTGTTGATATCACATGCAACCACTTTGCTATAAAACGCAATATTGTTAGCACCACTATCACATACGGTTCTAAAATGAAAACCTTCACACAAAACAAGTTATTTCTCCCTTTTCCTACTCAATGTATTTGAGAATCCTCTAGCAAGTGAAGATATGAAACCCCTCTCCTCCTTGTAACAACAAGGCATGACTGTGTGACTGCTTCCAGTAATTCAATTTCAGAGGCTCCACACAAACATATTCAATTTAGATTATTCTCAGAGGAGACAATAGATAAACACTTGGCAAACATGCGATCTCCCTCTCTCTCTCTCTGTGTGACTGTATCAAGAAAAGAATAGCCAGTTGTTTGGGGATGAGTTATGATATGATATCAAAGTATTTTGGCAGGAAATACCCTGGGACAATGATACAAAGGATTATCTGGCCAGACTCGATATTTAGAAGGGGAAAATAGGTATGTATTAAACTAAGAAATATCAACTCCAGATAGCCAGACATCTGGCATTAATACTTAGGAAACCTTATATGGTGACATGGCACAATTAAATGATACATTAAGCCATCGTGGTGAACCAGTGGAACAACAAAATAATGACATAATCAACATGATTACCACAATAACAATGAAAAGATTCAATATAGTCTTTTGAAGATCAAAACATTGTGAAATTAAAGAAATGACATGTGATCATCTTTATCTGGATACCCTTTTGAAGCTTCATGAGAATATAGGAGACATGAAAGAAAACAATTCATAACTCAACAAGAAAATAGCTCATGAAGAAAAGAAGTCCATCCAAATTCAAACTTTACCCACTTGAAGATACAATGTTTCAAATATCAATTTTAAATTTGAAACATCTACTATAAAGAAAGGAAATAAAACACAGTCTGTTGAGTGCCATAAGGGCATTTACTCTTTTAGCTGTATAAATCAATAGCCTTCTGGCTCTCAACAATTGAGTCGTCTATTCATACACTCACATAAACAAATGACAGCATAGTATCAGGTGGTATTGAGAAGCAGACAGTCATTAATTACGTATGGTGTTTGACAACAACGTCCTTCTAGCTTCACAGCAAACCAAGCTTCTATGGAAGATGGGATTGATAAGCCTCTAATATTCCACATCTACTCTAGATGGCAATAACGGCGGAGTCGTGGCCAGAAGGGATGCACTGAACTAGTTTTATCAGCTGTTCCGCAAGAAGGGCGTGTCCCCCTCGGCGTTTTCTCAGTCATTTGCTAATGTACGATGCACAGAAAGCTCGGGAATAGGCTGAAACCGGACATGTTTACAGAGAGGGAATCACAATATGAACTGATGCCATGGTTTGGAGAGACATGACCAGGGAAAAGCTTGAAAAAATGAAGTCTTTTAAAATAAATGACCAAACTCTTTTATGTATGCTCATATGTTAAAGAGGGTTTTATATTTACATACACTGTAATGCATGTAGTACATCATGACATCGATTCTGGATTTATCTCCCACTTCTTACTAAATGCCTTTGAGAGTCATCGTTAAATCACCTATTATGATTCATATCCTAGCATCATTTATAAAGCAAAAATCGTTTTGAAAAGCAATTATCACGCTCTTTTGGGCCATTCAAACCGCTGAAAACTATCTCGGTATCCATGCTGTGAATTTCAAGTGTTGGCGGCATTCTAGTGACCTGACTTAAGAGTTTCTCTTTCATAAGAAGTCAGTCAAATTAATCACAAAATAGTGACATTTAAAGTACCTAAAACAGCAGTCGTATCATCTTGATTGTAATTAATTGTAATGCTTAGATCTCCATTGAGTAATTCTGGTTTCCTATCATGTCAAAACCAATTCATTTGTTAACGCAAGTGTCCTTTCAACATCCAAATCTCAACTCGTTGAGGAGAAGAGCCAACTTTCTTTTTGTACTCAAATGCATTGTTTATCCTCTACGTCAAGACATCTTTAATAGTAATGAATGCTCTGTAAAAAGACACAAGGGTGATGACGACAATGATCAAAGTAGTATATTTGTAATTTCCTGCCTACGTATTGAAGTCACATGAGCATGAGGCATGGTGCACCAAGTGGCAATAGGGCTTGATGATGGATATATGTATTCAAGAATATGGGGGGGGGGGGTCTTCATTTATTTGTCATATGACAGGTTGCAGCTAAAAGTGACAGATAAATATCCAAGAGACATCTAAAGAAAAATAACAACAAAATAATAAAAGGACTTACAAAATGTACTGCCTCTATGCAATATATTGACACAAGCCAATCGCCAAAGCAATCAACACTTCCTCAAATGTCTTCTTTTTACCCTTAATTAATCATCTGTCACATCACAAAAATGTGTTCATTGAGTTTTTCTGCATCTTAGCATACTGTTTACATTTGGGAATTATTGAACGGTATAGCTACACCCCTAATAATCACACACCACCGATAAGGGGGTTGATAGAAGACATATGAGGGCGTGTGCGTGTGGGTATATCCATGTCATGACTTAGCATGAAAAGACCCTCTACATGTGCACCTGAACATGAGGCTGGTTGTAATTTAGGGGAACGTTGATCCCAATTGCAGGTTATTGGCATTGACTTCTCTGCTCTGCTTAAATTAAAGGCAGAGTGAACTGATAGTAGAGGCATACTTTAAGAAAAATCCTTCAAAAACACACCTTTCATAGAATTAAACATCTAGTACAGGAGACAGAATTTATAAAAATAAAATGAAATTAAAAAAATGAACAGATTGGCTTAATAAATCTTAACAAGTAAAAGCCATAAAGGTCAGGTATAAAGACAGGAAGCAGCATGAAAGTCTTTTAAATGCTGACAACTTATTTGTTTTCGTTTCTACCTTAAGTGTGTCATGTTGATGAGGCCATGTACAAAAAGAGTGCACTCTTTTAAATCATGTTGTGAATAGCAATTGTCAAAACAATGAGATTATGGCTTGGTTCATAGCAGCTAACATTTTATTTTATTTAAAAAAGTGATCCAAGAGAAGCAAGTTAGATGACAGTTACAACATTTCCAAGACAGCGACTAAAAGTACAACATCCTGAAGAGGGGGCTTTAATGCAGGTATTATGACGAGGCAGTATATTATCTCTTGATGAAATTAAAGCGTAATTACCCGCAGATATGCTCTAATATGAATTCCTCAACACAGGAAACGGGGTGCCAAAATATGTGTAATCCATCCCACTACAGAACATCAAGAGAAAGACGTCTGAATTCGATACGATCAAAAGTGGAAATATTTTCTGAGCAGATGATACAAATGGCTGGCTGAATTAGGATCATTAATCCAATTTGCTGTGCGAAATATGATCGTCAATCCAAATTTACTGCAAGAATCGTACAAATGTGATCTCACAGGAAGATCTCTCTTAAGATTCAAGGGACGCTGAATAAACTCGACGGTATTTTTGTAACCCAATAAATAGACACTGCCTAAGACTGCCATCGCAATCTCCATCGGGCATCTCCTTTCTAATTGAGGGAAGGAAATTTTGAAGATTAATCTTTGCGGGGGTATATTGAGGAAATTTATTAAGTCTTAATTGCATGACTTTGAAGACGTAAAATTCGATAAGAGCCTTGTTAATGCCAGGAAGGGTTACGGGGAGCAAACATGGCAAGGGACAATTTTGGTTTGAAGTGATGGTTGGAAGTAAGATGAAGAGGTGACCATGTGTTTGTACTTTGTGGCGATGGTACCGTGAAGATGTAAGATTGGCTATACCTCCCTACGAGACCTTCTTTATGGTCTTGTTCGTAGGGGGCTGGGGGGAGAGAGAGAGAGCAGGGGTCATTAGTTGTGCAACATTGGTCATTAGGCTCTTCCAATTTGCAGCCTAATACGGTCTCAGAAGACATGGCATACACTCCATACAATCCAGAGC